TTCCCTAAAGTTTCTGACCATTGCTGAAACCTCCCCTAAAGTTTAGAAATTGCAACACCTCCCTTGAACTTTCTCATACAGTTGCAAGTAGAATCCCTCGTGTAGAATCATCTAAAAACAGACATGAAAATGTCCAAAATACCCATATAGTTACTATTGAGGTTGGTTTCTACGAAAAACAAAAACAATACGAATTTCGTGAACAACAAAAACAAAGAGAATTTAAAGTTGCAGCTTTACCTTTGAGTGATTTATATGAATGAAAATTTTAAAAAATAAACATTTTTGTTAAAAGTAACTACATGGGCATTTTGGACATTTTATGCCTTTTATAGAAGATTTTACCATAGGGGGTCTACTTGAAACTATGTTAGAAAGTTCAAGGGAAGTGATTGCAACTACCAAACTTTAGGGGAGGGCTTAGCAACAACTAGAAACTTCAAGGGAGGATTTAGCAATTTACCCAAATTAAAAATAAGAGGATTTGAACCCTAGTTATTAGCCTATAATAACAACAAATCCACCATTAAGCCATAGTATGGTTACTTGTCATAACATATGCATTTTGATTCTTAAGTAATTATTTATTCTTATGGGATTTTTTTGGAAATACATACTAAATTTAATTATTAAAATTTATATACTAATAAATATTAACACAAATTATGTTGATTTGTGAAAACTAAGATATATAAATATAAATATTAGTTCTTTCATCACTCTTCAATGGTTACCAATTGTGTCCCAATATCTCACAATTTATATGAACTATTAAAGTATAGTTTTCTATGTTTCAATAACTCATTTATAATTATATAAAGCTTATATATATTGTTATTAATATATATTTTTAATCTATATTAGAGTTTACTAGCATATCCATGCATATCTTTTTTTTTCCATATCCAAGTGTATCCAAAGAGTATCCCAATACGTCTCTTAAAGTTGTCTTACCAATACTTCTTGTGTTTTCGATACTTTGATCCTTACTCTAAACATGTTACACCTAAATCTATTTATGGGACTACCCATTCCTAATCAGGCATAGACATGATTTTAGACCTATGTGCTCAAGCTCAAGCCCAATTTTTTTTTCCGCCTAGATTTGAGANATGTGCTCAAGCTCAAGCCCAATTTTTTTTTCCGCCTAGATTTGAGATTTTTCAAAAAAGCCCAACTAACTTTATTTTATATAATATATTATATATTTTTAAATATTTTTACTAACCTAACCCTAGCCCAACATTTACTTTTCTCCTTAATATCTTAAATTTTGAGCTTCAATAGAACTTGGAAGGCTTCCTTCCTCACACAAGCTATAATGGCATCACTATAAGTTCTTAACCCTTTGAAGACATCATCCTTCACATACAACCATAAGTTCTTAACCCTATCTCCACTAGACTAGTCTGGCAGTTCCATCCCCTTCCCTAATCCCTTCTCTATTTAGTAGCAATACTGGCACCTCACTAACACTATTGTGAGCTCTAGGAAGCACATGGCCAACTCAAATAAAAGGAGTCACCACCCATTTTTCAAAGGAAATGGACCATCATTTTTAGCTTTGAAAATTGATTTTATAGTCTTTGATAGTGGCTCTATTCTCCAAGGAGAAAGGCATACAATCGAGAGATTTTGGATCCCAAATATTGGGAGAGGGAAGGTGTTAGGCACCCCTCTCTCCAAGTTACTATAGCAGCCCAATACGGAAGTTATATAGGTTCAATTTGCAGTGATGAACCAACAAAAGTGATTATTGAAATTTTTGAACAAAAGTGATTATTGAAATTTTTGAAATTTAGAGAAAAATGCTCCCAACTTCTCCTAAAACCAATTTTGAGGTGATGTTATCAGGCCTCAGGTACTAATTTCCCTATGACCCGTGGATTTCTGCCTCTTTTTCTTAGTGTAGAAGAAGCTGAGAACAATGGTTCTCCAGACTTACAGAACTTCAAGCAACCCATAAATTACAAACTTGAGCTAAAGAAAGAGTGATAGGCTTACCTCTTGTATATAGCCTTGTTGATGGAATTTCAACAGTCGAATTGAATGACATAGTGTTTGAATGAGCTCAAAAAAGGTAGGCAATAATCAAAGGCTAGGAGATTTCATTCAAATCTCGAACCTAGAACACAATGGGTGGATCTAAAGCTTAAAGCTTGAATGCTTTTGGATTTTTCATGGAAGAAAGCTTTATAGAGACTAATAATGCTACTGGGGTTTCCCCTCTGCTTCTCTCTTCTCTCCCTATCCCCCTAGAGCTTGAGTTAGGTCTCTATTTAAAGAAAAAATGAGGGGAATAGGTCTAAAATTCGCCCAATCAGGGAGCTCAAACGTCAATAGAGTTTTTTCATAAAAATGGGCAAAGATTTTTGTAGAAAAAGGTGCACAATCAAGCTTTCCTCTTTCGTAAAATGATTCTCCCTTATTTGAGGTTGATTTTCAGGGGTTTTGCGTGTCCAATAGGAGCTTGGGGTGTACCTATCATTGCGGTCTTGTATTAGGGGCAGTTAATGGCATGAAATGTAAATTTTATTTTTATCTTTTCTTATATTTAAGTGGGGTATCTTTGAATTTGGGTTTCTTTAATTCTATTGGGTTTAATTTCATTGGTCCAGGTGTTTGAATAGGTCAAGAATGGGCTTGACATCAGCCATCACCCTCTTAAAGTCTTAGGTTGGAATATATGAAGTGGTGATTTAATTAAGAACATCTTAATTATATCCTTTTAGTTTAATAGTTAAATAGGTAAACTAGGTCATGAAAATTTATGTACAAGGGTTTTTTGTGTCTTTGAACATAATGGCGTGATTTGATTGGTCTAATAAGGCTTGGATGATGGAGATCTATGGTCGGTGTGCTCTAATTAGTGAGCTTTTTGAAAATAGAATCAAGACTTGATAAAAGGTTAAACAAGGGGATTTTGGAATGAAATTTAGTGGCTAGGCATTTTTGGATGCCTTGAATCTAATGAAAGTAATGAATCTTTGATCAGAGGTGTGGATTGAAAGATTTGGTTTGGGTCCAGGTTTCAGCCTAGGGTTTATCAATCAATAAGAAGGCTTAAAATGGAATATCACTTTTTTAACAGTCAAATGAAAGAGTTTGGTCACAAAATTTGACATACTGGGGTTTTTTTTGGGGGGCACAATGGTGAGGTCTGATTGGTCAAATAAGGCTTCGATGGTGAAGATCTATGGATGACGAGCTCTAATCAACGAAATTTACTAAAACATAATCATGGCTTGATGAAGGGTTAAACGAGGAAATTTTGGGATGAAAATTGGAGGGTAGGCATTTTTGGATTTCTGAAATCTCATGAAACTGATGAACTTTGATCAAAGGTGTGGATTGAAAGATTTGGTCCATATCAAGGTTTTGGCTTATGGATCACTAATAAAAAAAATCTAAAATGAAATCTTGCTTGTATTGGGAGGAAAAAAAAGAATTTAAGGTTGGATCTGAGGGGTAGTTTATTTTGAGGATTTTGGTCTTAGGATATGACTTTTTGTGTCATTTAGTCGGAAATGTCAAATTGAAATCTTTATTGATCAAATGGTTAAATAAGGAAATATTAAGTTGAAATTTGAAATGAAAAGTTGGGTGAACGGTTCAGATTTGGAAAGAATTTATTGATCATGATTGTCATAGATTTGAGGTGAGACTTGAGGATTAATAATATTTTAGCATACTAGGCAATGAATGTATAAAATTTGGATCAATATAGTCATGGTTTGACCTTTGTGTGGATTGAAACGTAATTATGGAGTTTTCACGTAAAAAGGGATTTTTTTTTTTGGCGGGGGGGGGGCGGGGGTTGACAGGTTTCAATTTAGTTTGGTTTTATTTTAAAGTTTTGGATCTAAAATGAGGGTTTAAAGAGGTAGAATCAAGGGACCAATCGGAAATTGGGTGCTAACAGCTTACCCTCTTTGTTGTAGGTAGCAAACTATTGAATAACAATGAAAAAGAGGCACATAGAGATTTTTGCGAGGGATAAGAGAATGGAAGGGAAATTTTTTATGCTAGAATTGTAATCAAGGTTAAAATTAATGTAGTGGAATGCCTTTTCTTGGAAGGTGTAGTACCATCCCAAACCCTAGAAGGCAAATGCAACTATCAAGCAAATGTGCGAAAAACACAATGGTGCCATCCCAGAAAAAGCTAGTATTGGTTGATGTGTTAATTTGATGCTTGAATTATTAATAGACGGGTTAATTTGAAGGTATTGATAGAGTTTAGAAATTTGTTATTTGATGAAGCTTGTTAAGTTTTTATAGGTTTTGACTTTTGGAGGTTGATATTATGAAGTTCAAATTTGTTATTTAATGAAAGCTTATGGATTTTGATTTTGATATTTGATGAAAGTTTATTGAGTTAAGATTTTGGCTTTCAATAGTTAATGTTGAAGTTCAAATTTGTTATTTGATGAAAGCTTATTAAGTTTTTATGGATTTTGATTTTTAATAGTTGATGTTGAATAAACTTGATGGGTGTTTGTTTTGAAAATATTTCAGAAAACCATTTTGAAAACTTGGTAGAAGTCCTATTATTACTATAGTGCATGTTGCTATCTTGATAGGTAACAAGAATCCTTTAGAAGGGAATAATTTGTGCATCAAAACTTTGACAAACTAGATGACGAAAACTGTATGGTGCAAAGTGTCATGGTGTTGAAGTAAGTCTAATGCCCCTAGTAATGGTTTGGACTCCATGAGGATGGTTTGAAGATAGGGCGGTCTATTGACAAGTTATCACGCTTTTTGCACTTCTACACATACTACAATGCACTGAGAACAAATTTAATATTGGAGCAAATAGGAATGTGGTTGAAGTAAAAGAATTTTGCATTTATGATTACGAATGAGTGGAAAATCTTTTTATCGAGTTGCTTGAAGGTAGTTCACATGAAGTGAACGATTTTTGCATTTCTCTAGATTAGGATTTTGCATTTATGTTTTCACATGAAGTAAAAAACACTTTTGATTGATTTTACGATTATGCACAAAGGCATGTCGCATGAAGCAGAGGATGTTGATGGATTTTGCATTATGCCTGAAGGTGAATTACACAAAGTAAAGGGTTTTGATGGATTTAGCATTATGCCCAAAGGTAATTCGTACAAAGCAAAAGATTTGGAAGGATTTTGCATTATGCATGAATGCAAGTTGCATGGAGCAAAAGATTTTTTACAATTTTCCATTATGTCGATGCCCAATAGCAAGTTGCATGAGGTGAAAGATTTTGATTGATTTTAGCATTATGTCTGAAGGAAGTTCACATGAAGTGAAATATTTCGATGGATTTTGCATTATGCCTAAAGTCAACTCGCATAAAGTGAAAGATTTTAATGGATTTTGCAATATACCCAAAGGTAATTTGCACAATTCAAAATATTTTGATGAATTTTGTGTTATGCTCGAAGGTGATTCAAAAGATTTGATGGATTTAGCACTATGTTTGAAGGCGTGTCACGTGAAGCAAAAGATTTTGATAGATTTTAACATTATGCCTGAAGACGAGTCACACAAAGAGAAAGATTTTGAAGGTTTTTTTTCTTTTGTACTTAAGTGATTTTGTATGTTCATTAGAAGAATTTTAGATGATGATATAGAATAATTTTTGAATGATTTAGATGAAAGAATTTTGGATGAAAGAAAATTTTGGATAATTTTAGACTTGGATAAAAGTAATCTGTATTAAAGAATTTTAGATGATCCACATTTAGATAAAAGCAATTTTTGGATGGATAAATTTGAATGCTAGATTTTTTTTATAATAGAAAACTTGATGCAAGAGACAAGGGTTAGTTGGATGGTCGAAATTGACTCCCGTCAAAACAATGGCAATTAAAAGGGGTATGCCTACCCTTGATGGAGTGTGAGATTTGACAATTGAAACTTTAGTGGCTTCAAAGATATGTGTTTTGGAAATGTTAGATTGTTAACTGAAAACTCATTTAGGAAAACATTCAAGTGAGATGCAGCTGCCCTTTTATTATTGAAATTGATGGAGTGTGAGATTTGACAAATGAAACTCTAGTGGCTTCAAAGATATGTATCTTGAAAATGTTAGATTGTTAACTGAAAACTCATTTAGGAAAATGTTCAAGTGAGACGCAGCTGCCCCTTTATTATTGAAATTGAATCCTCATGACTTGCTAAAAAATATATATTGCCCTTTTGTAATGGAGTGATCAATTTGAACATTAAATTAAACTTCTTGTGCATTGATATGCTTGCCCCAAGTTTGGAATATATCTTATTTTGTGCATCTTTTTCCCCTGGTTTAGTGTTTCCAGGTCCAATCTTCGCTTTCCTTTTTTTCTTTTTAACCTCTAGGATGTCGTTGTGACCTTTCGCTATTATCCTTGACTCCATCATTTTCAGCGAAATAAGGTCTATCCAAGGCCCGCTTGCTAATCTTTCAAATATCGATGAGGTCTTATTAGATAAGACAAAACGTGGTTCAGGATAAGACTTGGAACTGAAGGATAAGAGGCTCAACATACCTTTTGATATAGGTTTTGGATGTTTGAGTTAACATATAGGGCATTCAACATATTCTTATTTTTCTCTCCTTTTTTTTTTTTTTTGCTTTTCTTTAATTGTAAGGATTGAGAAATGCTTTCCATATCTTTCAATGCCATGAGTCATACATCTTTCTTGATCAATGAGGACTTTATGTTGGGATTAAGTGTGAATGAGGTGGGGATAAAGTGAAGTAAGAGAATTGATGTCATCTGGAGAAAGCCTTACTAGCTTAACTGCCCAATTTTTTCCCTTTTTTGCTTTCAAAATCGCACATTATTGCCCTAGTTCTCATCTTTTGATTTCATTCTTTTATTTCTTTTGTTTTTGTGTAAGAGCATTTAATAATTTGACATCCATCTCTTTGAAAAAGGGTTTATTTAAAGAAAATGGTTAGTATAAAGGCTCTAAGGGTTGGTTAAATAAAAGGAGCTAGAGTGAACAAGGTAAAACAAATGACCGATAGATGGTCTCCCTTCATCTCTTGATTGTACGCATGATTCATGAATCAAAATACTTATTATTCTTGTCCCTAATCAACTATTCATGAGGGAATTATTACCTATGAAAAAAATGTTGTAGTTCTTTAGTGAGCTTGCCTCTAGTTTCATTCACCTTTTTCTTTCTTCACACTCTTTTTCAAATTTTTTCTTTTTTTTTTGTCCTTTGATTTATGCATCATTGGGAATTTGTAGGTTTTATCAAATGAAAGCTTTGATGGAAGGCTTAAATGGATTGACTATCGTTTGAATTAGTGATGAGAGACCAAGGGGAAATGATCAACCAAAAATGGCCTCCAGTCCTTTCTTTTATTGGTTAGAAATTGACACTAGTATTGTAAAGATGCCTTTATTCTATGCTAACTCATGACGAGTTGTTGCAAGTAGGCTTTGTTTTGCATTACTCTATTGCCATTGGAATGTGTCTTTAGTGTTTTTGCTAACTCTGTTGTCCCCTTCTTCAAATATTTCTTTCTTTGAATTTCTAATCAACAACTAACTTTTCTCAAAAACATATCCATGGGACTCGTCGTAAGTTCTTAGTCAAGTTAAGTTTCGATCACCAAATTTAGATATACTAGAAGGACGAATGGACCCCAATTGAATTTGTTGTTTTGTCAAGAGTAAGCAATGAGACAAAAATAGAGATTAACTATCAAAGACACAAAAAGCCAACTTTCATTATGGTCCCCTTTTTCGACCAAGATGGGCAAAAGCTGGGAAGGCTGGAAAGGTAACGGGGTAAACTTCTTCACTTCATTCTTGGATGGCTAAGAAGATGGTGTAGGACTTTAGACAACAAGAGGTGAATGTGATGTTCCTATGTAAGAGATTAGACAATCAACTTTGAAGGTTAATAGGTTCACTGCCTTTTGAAGTTCTTCAATCTTTTATTGGATTTTGAGTTGATTTCTAGTAGGTGTAGTCATCTTTCCTATTGGGAGCATTAAACTTTAAAAGACATGAAACATGCATATAAAGCGGTGCATAATGTGTGTGCATATAGTACAAAGATGATGCAAATAATGCCTAGACTATATAGGTTAGTACCTAAAAGGTATCTAGGTAGAAAGCCTAAGGTTTTTGGAGAGGATACTAAATAATGTTTATTTGAGAGCCTTAGGGTTTTATTTTTACTTTATTATCCAAGTCGCACCCAAGCACCACTACCCAGACTGTATATGTACTATTCTTGAGAGATCGGATTGGTCGTGGTTCTTGAAAAGGTGATAAATTTGACTACATATTTCAATGATGCTTTAAGGAATATGTCTGACGTTGATGAGGTCTTGGATGTTGACTTTGAGAACTGTGTAGAGTGTAGTCATCTGTTGAATGCCCTGGTCCTTGATGATATGCACAATACTCATCTAAATTGATGTTCTTCAGTAAAGAATCAGGAATTAGTTTTGGTGACAAAGGTGTTAAATAATCATTTTCGATCAGTTGAGGAAGCAATTGAGATTGTGGAGCGAAGGGAGTGAATCGTCTCTTGACTTTTCTTTTGAATGGATTAGTTAGAGTTTGACATTTCCATGTTGAAGAGGAAGACTGATGTATGGTGGCAACTATAGTAGGTTCTTTGATCTTGTCAAGTAGACTTATGGGTAATAGGTTGATCGTCTCATTTTTAATTTCCCATTCAATGTGAGTATCAACCTCTAGGAATTGATCAAAGTCTCAAAAAGTTTGTCCTACTATTAATGAATAGAAGAGTTCTTGGAGTGACTTGATAAAAATCCTAATTGCATTATCATCTAGCAATAGTTCCTTCATCTTGATATACATAATCTTTCATTGTTTGAAATATTCGGTAAAGCTTTCATCCAGTCCTTGATTAAGGTGTTTTAGATCAATCAATGTTGAGAATGGGTAAAAATCAAAGCTCTTGATAAATTGTTATGCTAACTTGCTCCATGTCTTTCAGGTGACTAGATTAAGCTAGGTATATCAATCCAAAGTGCCTCTTTTTAAGTTCCTGGAGAATAATTGGGTTAATAATCTTTCATCATAATCAAGTTGAAACATATTTGTGTAATAAAGGAGGGTGTGTGCTCTAGGATAGTTTGATYCACCATACTTGTAAAATTTTGGGATTTTAACTTTTTAGGAAGCCCAAGGTTGGGGTGAGAGCACAAAGTGTTGAACTTAATTATCTCTTATGGTTGGAATTTTCGTATATCCTTATGTCTTCCTTTATCTTGGCTAAGTATTCTTGGTAAAGTACTATTGACAAACCATGCCCAATTGAGGTTGACAAGAGACTTGTTCCATTATGATCCTAAAAGGAGTCTTTTCGGGTTAAAAGAAGTTTGAACCATCATTTTACATGACGAATTTGTGTTGTGTTGCTTTCTTTTATTCTATTGAAGATGGGTTGGTTGGTTGTTTCAAGGGCATACATTGTTGGCTTTATGAGGGAAGACTAGGGATTGGATCTAGTGATGTAAGTGCAATGACATGTATGCTCAAGCAAATGGTGAAGTGCAAACAAAAACAATGAAAAAAAAAATTCATGATAAAACTGGTTTGCCCCTAGTATATTCCTAGAGATATTGAGGTTATTATGGATTGGTTAACTAAACTTGGATCGTAGGCAAGAATGGGACGAGGTTAAATTGGCAAGGATATAGAACACTTTGGACAAGGCTAAGGTAATGGACTTGGTATAAAGTGCTAAAGTTGAAGTGATTCCATATGTGTGTTGGCTAGAAGGGAGGTGTTGCTTATATAGTGGGTGTAGCTATTGATTGGAGAGGTACTAAAAAGATTGGTTATGTAAGTGATTAAAATAAGATAGCTTCCTTGGGATGGGTTAAGATAACTTAGCAAGGATGAGAATGATCTAATGGTGACTAGACCAATTTATGAAAGGAGAATGCCATAAATTAGTGGACCCTTGTCATAAATCGAGCAAAACATTTAGAAATTGGAAACCAAGGTTGAACTTGAAGTTGAAGCTTTTGAAAACAAATATATTTCTTAAAGAAACTTTGATTTGATTAAACTTGATTAACTTTGTTTATTTTGATAAGATTGAAAAAGTACTCAGAGATCTTGATGTTTTTTTTATAAAGGTTACAAGTGATTATACATGTTTTAAGATTTTTGCTATCCTAAACTAATAATTTCTTACAACGGAGTTTGATGGTTTCATCACATATTGATATTTTCTATGATTTTATTTACTTATTGATCAATATTTTCTTTGTTGTGTTTTTATTAATTTGATAGATTTTGATATTGGACCATTTTAGAAATAGATTTTTGTTTTTACTGGTTAAGGTTTGATGTTGTTCTCTTTTTTATAAGTTTTAGAATCCAAAGAGCTAGTGGTATAATTA